ACACACACACACACACACACACACACACACACACACACACACACACACACACACAGTTCCTAACCCTCATCTCTGTGTGCCAAGGGGTGAGGAATCTGGTCACGGCAGGTCTCCCTGTGGACTTGGAGAGAGGAAAACAGCCGGATGATCTCCTGTTCACCAACCCTGGTCTCACAGCATAGCCAAAGGACAGTGTAGCCACTGGACCTGCCAGCTACCTCCAAGGATGCCGGCAAACGTCTTCTAACATCTTCTAGCTGATCCACAACAAGACAAGCCCCCAGGACATAAACCCAGGCCACACATAGAAGCCCCCCGTCTGCCCAACCATTGCATCCCACTGAGTATCCCGGGACTTGAATATCCTGATGGGTCTAGACAGCAGGAGGACAAACTATTTCATCCCACCCAAATGAGTCTCCGGATTCTTGAAGCCAAGTGCCATTTCTTAAGCACACCTGCTCCAAACCCTGAGGTCCACAAACTGCCTCCACAGGCAAATCGAATCCTGCCAGCTCGCTTGAGAAGCCAGTTCCCCTTATGGGAGAACTAAGGTATCTCTGGCTGGGTATCCCAGTGGGGTGAGACCCAGCAGCGGAACTCTGCTGAGGTTTGGCTCTCGGTTCTGCCTGTATGACCACAGGCAAGTGGATGGCCCTCTCCACATTTCACCATCCTTGAAGGTAAAATGAAGACTATGAATGCAAGATCTCTCTCACGGGTTGCTAGTCTGCTTAATTTCTTAATGCAGTACCAGGCCGTACAGAGTAAGGGCTCCGCACTGTTCTTGTACAAATGCTGCTGGTATTCGTAACTGGAGTCCAGGTTCCATAGATTAGCTGGGCCTGCAAGTCTAGAACCCAGGCCCCCAGGGTCTGGCGCTGGCACTGGGATCGAGCCTGTGGATAGCAGGGCAGTCACACTGTACCTTACGATTCACACACACTGCTGCCCGAGGCATAGGCATGTCCCCTCCCTGTCCTTGGTGCCTCCACCCTGGCCAGCTGCCCCTGGCCCAGAGGCTCGATACTCACAGAGGTGGTGCGCATAGCGGAGGTGGAAGGTATCGCAGCCGTGAACGTGGTGGTACAGTGTCTTTTCGATAAGGTCTTGTGGCTCATAGCCTGTAAGCTCCGTCACCCTGTGGAAGGCCGTGGTTCCATGAGTCAAGCTGCCCTTAGGCCCCTTCCTTTAAACTGGTGTTTGCTTTGCCAACTAATCAAGTGTGAAGGGGCCCAGGGGTGGGGGATGTTGGTTTTGGAATGATCCTTTGGACAGGAAGGAAGTCTTTGAAGTCTAGCTCAGGGTAGGATGGAGAACTGTGAGCAAGAATGTCCTGGAACCATTGGTTACAGGCATGTTTAGGATGGCTTAGCAATTTGGATCTCTCTCGAACCCTGCCTGTCTGTGGGTGCCAAGGGGAATGCTTTGGTACAAACATTGAAATAATCTGCATGATGGGGAGGAGCCGCTCTGGGGTCCTGTTGCTAGAGCCCTTCGTGAACCTGCTTCGTTCTATGTGTGGGTGGATGTGTGCAAGCCCAGCCATCCCCGCATCTGTCTTCCAGCGCTGGGGTTATAGGCTCCACGGCCACGTGTGGCTTTTGGACATGCTTCCTGGGGATCTGAACTCAGGCCGTCATCATGCTCACGTAGCAGATACTTTGCCCACTGAACCTTCTCCTGGGGCTCCTTTATTTGTTTAGTTCTAAAAAAATATACATACATACCATAATATGTACTGTCGTAACCATTTTATGTGCATGATTTAGTGGCATTAACAACAACATCCACACTGTACCGTGATCATCTTCCCACACTTTCTCATCACCTCAAACCGAAGAAACACCTCACCTTCGGAATAATGCCTTTTCGTCTGCCTTTCCCTGAATACCACCAGTCCCTTTGTTAAAGCCTTGTCCTCCATTCAGCTTCCTGTCTCCCTGAACTTGCGTGTCCTAAATCGGAATGATACGTGTGTGACCCTTTGGCTTCCGCCTTCCTTCATACAGGATGAGGTGTTAAAGGTGTCATAACATGTGTCCAGAACATGCCTGTCTATGACTGACTACTTACTATGCCGTTTCATGTAGATACCACGTTTTGTGTTTTGTTTATTCCCTTGTCTGTGGACCGGTGCTGAGACTCTGTGTTTACATCGCTGTTCTACATTGTTAATCGGGTGGTTCCAGTTAATGCAGAGCTTACAGCTGGGTGGCTCCTACTAGCAGGATTTACAGAGTAACTGTTTAAACCCGGCATCCAGAGACCCTCCAGAAAACAGTGCAGTGACTGGAAATATGCCAGCTAGAAGGTGAGGTGCCCACTCTCCCTCTGCCGTGGAAGTCTTTCCCAGCACGTCTGGGACATGATCCCTCACCTCTCATCAAGTCCCAGACATATTAATTTCCCACTTCAGCACTTTGAAGAGAAATGGCTGTCAGCATCTAAGCCCTCATCAGTGCCACGTTGGGCTGCCCTTTCCGGGGGTGAAAGTGTGGGCGGCCGGCAGTGGTATGGCTTCACAGACTTGGCCTAATCAAGCTGGGAGCTGGGTCCTTAAAAAAGGTGGGCGGCCCTGAGCATGTTGGTGACAGATATTTAAGGGCAGATGAAAGGGCGGGATAAAGGATATCAAAAGCAGCGTGGCAGCAGGGAGAAAGTCAGTTCTGGAGATGGCGGGGGGACAGGGGGTCACTGAAGGCTGGCACTGAGGGCCCCGCTTGCCAGCTGTGAAACGCTAGCCACAGGCAGAACCAGGAAACGTGACCCCACTTCCATTCTTCAATCTTCTCGGACTCTGGCTCATGCTTCTCTCAGAGCCTCAGATTTCCCGGGAGTGGCTCTCCGTTTGGCACATGTACCCCGTGGTGTTCCTCTTAGGTGGGGAGGGAACGGGGCTCCAGGTGAGTCTATGGGGATGCCACTGGCTCCTGCCCTGTTCATTCAGTGCTCTAGAGACTTGTCCATGGGCCCTGTCGGGTCTGACTGGGTGGGAGGAAGCTGGCTGACCCCCAAAGAAACCCAGATGTCTCTGCAGCATGGACTGAGAGGCTTGACCAGTTCCTGGACCATTGAGCTAATACAGCAAGGACCTGAACGTGTCAAAGAATCAGAAACACATGCACCACGTTCTCATCAAACTCTTCACCAACTTTAAAAATTCAAGGGCAGGGAAGGGGCTTGGCAGGATGCCTTCCAGGGTTTGTTCAAACCTCCAGTGTCTATAGTCCTGTCAGAGAGATGTGCCAGACTCCCAACATCTCTGGCTTCACCCAGCCTTAGCGAAAGCACCAGCTACAGTTTCAAAGCGAAACCACAAAACCCGGAGGATCCAAACGCCAGGTTAAAGCGAGTTCAGTTGTGTCTGGGATGATGCTGGGTGGGCAGCCAGCAGCTGCTCCCCGAGGACCACCACCACCCTTGCTGCTGTGACTGGGGGGAACTCGGGCCAACACCCCTCCCTGCTATAGCTCCCGGGGCTTGGGTGCTGACGTAACCACCGACCTGACTAGTGATGTCCTCCCAGAGCCGGCTCTAGCCGAGAGGCCTTTCAAGATCATGTTGCTGTAACAAGACAGAAACGCAGTCGGCTGTGAAGGGTCCCGATCCCCTCAAGTGTCTCCTACACGACAGCAGCCTGGCTTCTGAGCTAGCCCTCACCCTTCACTGAAAAGGCCCTCCACATGTCAAAGTGCCACAAGCTGAACAACCAATCAGAAAAGATTTTGGGTCGCTCCCCTGGGGACAGGATCTCTTCTTCCTCTTTGAGAGAATTCAAGCGGTCTCTGGGGGTTTTCTCGAATTGTCTGAGAAATACAAGGAAGCTGTGCTGGCTGGTTTTATGTCAACTCAACCCAAGCTAGAGCCATCAGAGCGGAGCGGAGGGACCCTCAGTTGAGGAAACGCCTCCATCAGGTCCAGCTCAATTAGTGATCAGTGGGGGAGGGCCCAGCCCATGGCGCGTGGTGCCATCCCTGGGCTGGCTGAGCACGCCATGGGGAGCAAGCCAGTGAGCAGCACCCCTCCATGACTTCTGGGTCAGCTCCTGCCTCCAGGTTCCCGCCCTATTTGAATTCCTACCGTGACTTCCTTCTGTGATGAAGTTTAAGTGTAAGCTGGATAAACCCTTTCCTCCCCAACTCGCCTTTTGGTCATGGTGGTGGTCACAGCCACAGAAACACTAAGCAGGACGGAGGCAGAGAGAGGGAGAAACCAGCGGTTTCCTCTGCACTTCTTTAGCCGTGGCCTTGGGCCGCCCACGTCCCGCCTACTTTCTGAAGAGCCCCCATGTCGTACCTACCAGACTCTGAGGAGGCTCCCACCCCCACAACCTGCCGTCTTTGCTTCTGCAGGAAACGACAGATTTTGCCGCCACCCAGCCGTCCCAGACGGTGCTGGCCAATGAGTTAGTTCCATTTACTCTGTGCTTGGAGTTGCAGGGTGACTCTGTACCTCCTGTCACACCACCTTCCTCACTTCTCCACCCTTCGAATAGCTTGAACATGAGGACCGACCCTGACTAATTTCATGTCTCCTGTCCCACCCGGGCCCGGATAGATCTGTCTCCTCTCGATAGAATCAGTAGGTGGGTAAAATGCTCACTTCTATGGGATATTTTAATGCCATATTTTTCCTTCCTTTATAAGTTGCGGGTGTTTTTGTTGTTGTTGTTTGTTTTGGTTTGGTTTTGGCTTGGTTTATTTGAGACAGTCTCGCTCTGTAGCCAAGCTGGCTTTGAATCTGCCTTAGGTTAGCCTGGAACTCATAGCAAACCTCCTGCCTCAGCATCGCAAGTGCTAGAATAACATATGTGAGTCTTTACATTATTTTTCATTAACTTGAAAAAAATAGAACAGAAAAAAACAAAACAAAACAAAAAAAAAAAAAAACCAACCAGTAGCCCAGCATAGCAGCACATGCCTGTGGCCTCGGCTTCTCACTGAGGCAGGAGGATTGCTTGAACCCTGGAGTTCCCAGAAGGACTTTGGCCTATGCAGCCAAGGAACCCACAAGCCAAGTGGCAACTCAGCCTTGCAGGTAGATGAGGCTTGAGTTTTCAACTGCGTCACGTCTGGTGTCTACTTCCACCTCTCTGAGGACTTTCCAGCAGCGAGTGGTAGCCTTGGCTGACAGACGACATTTCACTGAGGTACACTGGAAGAGGCCCTACCTGCTAAGGCCTCAAGATCTGTGGAGACTGGGGACGTTCCAGAATGTGTAGTACACCAGTACTAAAATGCTGCAGATGTCTCATAAAATTACAGCCACCAGCTATCAATCACACAGTAAATTTTCAAGGCACATGTCTTTAAAACCAGCACTCGGGAGGCAGAGGCAGGCGGATCTCTGTGAGTTCGAAGCCAGCCTGGTTTACAGAGTGAGTCCCAGGACAGCCAGGGCTACACAGAGACATCCTGTCTCCAAACAAACACACACAAACTGTTCTCTCTGGAGCCCTGAAGTGCGCTCTGGGTAAGGACAGAGGCAGCTCCAGCAAGGGCCCCTGAAACACAAACCATGCCCTGCCTCAGTCACCCTCCCTTCCCCAGGCAAACACTGACGTGGAATCCACAGGCTGTGGTCAAGCCTCCCCCCCAGGAAGGCGACTCGTCTGCTCCCCCACTGACTTAAGGTGACTGTCACAGAGCTAGGAGCTTCACACATGCTCAGAATGGAAAACCTTTTATTCCAAAGTCCTACCAATGTGGTGGGGAGATGAGGAGGGACTTGAAGCTTTCAGGAGAGGAAAAGCAAAACAAAATGTGATGGACCACGTCTGTCATCCTTGTACTCCAGGGCAGGAGGCAGGAAGATCAAATATTCTCAAGGGCATCCTCAGATACATAGTGAATTGGAGGCCAGCCTGGGCTACATGAAACCCTATCTCAAAGGAAAGTGAGAAGTTGGGGGAGGAAGGAAGAAGGAAGGAAGGAAGGAAGGGCTCTCTTACATCACAATGTGTATTCTCATCACAGGCTTGTAAGATGAGTCAAACGTTAGGTAATTAATTGTAAAAAGTCCCTGCATCCTGTCTGTCGTGAATACTTTCCCTTCATGACTAACCCCTGGCTGGCCCACACTCTTAGCAGTTCTCACTTCTTGTTACAATATGCCTCAATAACGTGTAGCCCTCGAGGACCAGTTCCCACCATGGGACCCTCCGGGGCGTCCCAGCGAGTGCCAGACTCACCTGGAATCCAGGAATATGAGCTTCAGGTCAAGGCTGGCCCTAAACATGAACATGTTGCTGTGCAGCTTGATCTCTGTGATGGCACTGGGTGGCAGCGACTGGCCCACGGCCACCAGCCCCACGATCTGGTAGCAGGAGTCGTACAGGGACATGTCCAGCATATACTGCCTGATCTTCAAGTAACCGCTGCAGTGGATGACCTGGGAAGAGGACACAGACTCAGTGGGCACCGCTGCTCGGGCTCAGGTGTTGTGGGTTTTGTGTGTGTGTGTGTGTGTGTGTGTGTGTGTGTGTGTGTATGTGTTTATATGTGTGTGCTAGAACATTCTTCAGCCCATTTTCTGCAGGGTTGTATTGCTAACATGCTGTCAGAGAGCCTGAATGGCTGCTCGGGAGAAAGGATCCAGGTCTCTGCCTTAAGAAACAACGTCCTAAAGACACAAGCGCCTCTCATCCAGTCAGGTGTGCGGGAGGGATGCTGCGGATCCGGGCTCACTGACACATGATGGACTTGGATGTCAACTCCCGGCCAAGTTTGACTCAAGAACACGGCAAAGCCATGCTGGGGAACTAGTTGCCCTCCTATGAATGCTTGCCAGTAATTAAAACTTTGCCAACTTCCACGGGGATGGAGCCTGAAATTTCTGTCACCAACGTGTTCTTATCACTCCAGGAAATTAAAATTCTCTTGGTGAAATTTGTATTTATTTCACTTGTTTTGGCCAGTGCTAAGGATCCAAGCCACAGTCCTCATGCCTGCATAAGGACCTTACCACCTGAGCCGTCTTCCTAGGCCAATGTATGGAACTTTTATTTTGTTTATAATTCTAATTTTAATAAACAAATAGCCACCAAGCAGTGGTGGCGCACATCTTTAAACACAGCACTCGGGAGGCAGAGGCAGGCGGATCTCTGTGAGTTCAAGGCCAACCTGGTCTACAGAGTGAGTTCCAGGACAGCCAGAGCTACACAAAGAAACCCTGCCTCAAAAAAACCAAGACTAAATAAATAAACAAATATAAACAATAAGCCAGAGTATCTATTCCACTCTTGAATAGAAGCCCTCTCAATAGTTAGAGAGGCAAAGACCGTACTGGAGAGGTTGTACAGTTCCCAGGGCAGATGAGGCACCTGAGGCTTCCTGAACCACCATCTAAACATATGAAACCCTACACGAACCATGATTGCTAAGAGTGGTCATCTGAGTGGTTAGCGCTCTGTTTCTGTTCTCTGTCTCTATCCCCCTACCCCACCCTGTGCCAGGTCTCATGTAGCCTAGGCTAGCTCAAACTCACAACATAATGGAGGATGACCTTGAACTTGTCCTGCCTCCCCCTCCCAAGGGCTGGGGTTACAGACATCATACCCAGTTTATTCTGTGCTGGGGATCAAACCCAGGGCTTCCTGGGGGCTAGGCAAACACTCTAGCAGCTGGGCTACCTCCACAGCCCGCACAAAGTCCCTTTTCAAAAATTCTCTCGACAGGATTCACAAACTTACAGAGCTGGAAGAAATATTAAAATCACTCCGTTCTACCCTGTTCTCCCACTTTCCTGATGGGTCAATTGAGGAAAAGACAGACAGGTGACGTTTGGATTTACAGTTAGACAGCTGACAAGTATCAGAAACTAAAGTCTAGGGCCTCCTGAGGAATACAGTGTCGGGTTCGGGTAGAGCTAAGGGCTTCCTGCTCTGACTCAAGGAGGCTTCGTGACTGGGAAAAACAGCAAGTGTATCCCTCAAGCTGTTAAAGCATGAGGTGTGGGAGAGCTCAGTGGTTAGTGTCTGCCTGGTGCGTGTGAGGCCCTAGGTTTAATCCCAGCTGAGCAAAAAGTAACTCCGTAAACTAAAAGTGAGAAGCGGGGGTTAAGGCCGGGGTCACAGGAAGAGTTCACTGGCAGGAAGAGCAGGCAGCTGAAGAGGGGCGGGACGAGCCTGTGGCTGACGAGGGGTGTTCCAGAAAGAGAAGCTAAAAGCACAAAAGCCTCACAGCATCCAAGCCCACCTTCCTCCTTTCCCAAGGGGCAAGTGAGAAGGACCAGCATAAGGGCCTCCAGCTCCAGGGCGGCAATGGCACACAGCCCCCCACTGCCCCGGTGGGAGAAACAGCCCCGGAGACTCCTGGGAGGGCGAGGAACGGGGTGAAGGGTCTTCAGGGGTCCCTGGCAGGTTGTCTAGAACCCACCCTCCTACCTGGAAATTACCATCTCTAACACTGAGAATTGCCAACTAGCCATGGCGTGGATCTGGTCCTAGATTCTGGAATTAACCTCAGCAAGTGGCATTACCTGGTGAAGTTCAACCAGGGAGAAACATGGACAACGCCGGGAAGTCTCAGCTGCACCCTACCCTTCTCCATTTACCTCCCACTCTTGAGGATAAGATAAGGCCAGTGTCACACCCTTCGGAAGGCCAAGATGACCACTGGGTGTGGAGCCACAGAGATGGCGGTGCTTGGCACCTGGGGAGGCCTCGGTGGTTATGTGAAACACCATCCTGGTGTACCAAATTTAGTTGAACATCCCAGGGGTAAGAGCAACATCTCTGGAGAGCAACTGTTCACGGCTGCTCTGAGGTCCTGCCCCGGAACGTGGATGGATGCTGACAAACTCAAGGGGCAGTCGATGTGTGGCAGGCAGAGTGGAACTCGCAGATGCAAGGACAAATGTCTCTGCTAAGCCACTGCAATCCTGGTCTTACAGGATGAAATCCAACCAGCCTGGAACATCCGTGTAAAGTGCCAGGTCTTTGGGCTCATAATCCACTCTGAGCCTTGCTCAATACTTCTGTCATGGTGGACATGGCAGGTTCTCCCCACCCTCTCTCTGGCCTCAAGTGTGAAGGAGAATATAAGATGCACAGTAAAAACCCCTGCCTGGCAAATGGATGGAACTAGAAAAAATCATCCTGAGTGAGGTAACCCAAACCCAGAAAGACAGTCATGGTATGTACTCACTCATAGGTGGATTCTAGATATAAAATAAAGAACAATCAGACCACAACCCATAGAATCATAGAGGCTATATATATAGCATGGAGGTCCCTAGGACTACTGTGGCTTATAATAAATTTCA